TCAATCAATCCATTTATTTTATTCCAGTTCATGCATCCATAAGACCAGCCTCATTCTTCCAGTTTATATTGAAATTTAACCAGTGAATAACCTGAAATAGCATTGTTTTTTTAAATATATAGTTAAAGAAACTGGTTAACTTGCTGCTTTCCTGCAGCAGTGGAAGTAAATGAAGCCTTAAAAGCTAATATAAATAATTCCTACAGTTTGATGACTTGTCTGTCTGTACAAAGGCAGTGTTGGGACAAACTGTGATACTACACCCTGTGATGCATTGTTAGGACAATACTGTACTGCAAGAATTAATACTGTATGTTGCTATTATAATGGTGAGAAAAAGGCATGTTACTATTAAAGGAAGACAGACTGGTTGGTCAGGTTCATCCTACAGCAAGATACTGACTGGAAACTTTAGAAGACAGTGGCTTCACATGACGGAAGAGCAGCTCAGGCTCTGGACTCAAACCACATGGAGCTGGTTTGGGGTGAACTGGACAGAGGGTGACAGCAAAGGAAACTAAAAGTGCAACACGTTTGGTGGATCCTCTGCAGCAGTGATAAACTTTCTACATAATATTTCACTTCCATTGTAGAGAGAACATCATGAGTGAGGCATTAGAGAACTTTCTGTAACAACTGGAAAATTGTGGTGTTTTAAAACTTAATAGTGTGTGTGTGTGTGTCACTTTTGGTCTTCACCGGTTCCTGAGGGAAATCTGTAGTATTAATGCTCCAGTTAGTCACTCACTTTGTCTGTCTGGTAGAGTAGAGGGTTTTCAGAGGTGAATTTCTGGAAACAGCCGCCTGCTACAGCCACAGACTGTGCTATACCAAAACAATGGGCTCAAAGTTGCTAAAATGCTCCATTTTCATTACAGTCATTTTTACAAATGAATTGTTTGATTTATAAAATATCAGAGAAATTGCAAAAAACAATTCCTGTCACAATTTTCTAAAGCCCAGTGTGATGTTTTCAGATTGCTTTTATCCAACCAACGACACAAAAGATTTTCTATTTAACATGACACAAAACAGAGAAAAACAACAACTCCTCCCATTGGAGAAAGTGGGACCAGACATTTTTTTCCTCGAAAAATGACAACACTGTCATTTGTGCATTTTCAGGAAGTTAATTCTATTTTGGAACAATAACCTGCGTCTTTGTTTGACACACTGGTCTGTCACCAGTCCCCTGCTCCTGAGAGACTTATGGCACGTTTCAGTTAAGTGGCTCCCTCTTCTCTGCGCTATTTCATGGAGACAGTGTGCCTCCGTCACCAGGAGAAAGGGGTTAAAACGGTGTACCTGTCACTGTAACAGGCTGATTATTGCCTGTGGAGCTGGCAGGCTCGTGAGGATCGCTCCCCCTCCCCACAGTCCCTGCTGGGAGAGAGTCCTGGGGCCTGTGCTCACTGAGGCTGAATGACTCACAATTACCACAGCGACGGAGCCTGCAGCCACCTCCCATCCTCTCCAGCCGTTTCACTGACTCACTTACCGCACATGACAAATGACAAAATCACCCTGAACCTCCGCCCCCTCAATAAGACCTGATTGCCCATCGCCCACACTTTGCCTACAGTACTTAAAGCTGGGATATATCTTGCCAAGCTTCATGAAACAAAACAAACTTAGTCTGGAAGAAACTTCTTCTGGCCTTTCAAAGCAGCATTTTACTGTATTACACTAAGTAGATGGTTTAACATGCATATAATATGAGCTTGAGAGCAGCACATTGTCCTGGAAATACTCTGCTGCTGCAGATTTTTAGAACTCATCAAATGTTCTTTAATGTCATAACACTGATCACTGAAAAAAAGACAGCATTTGTTGTGCACCATCAAAGGATGACTCCTCTGACTGTATTTTAAATATGAAAGACAGTGAGTGATATGAACACCCAAAGCAGACAACATCAGTGCTCAACTGTTAACAAAGCAAAGTCTCGCTGTGCCTGCAAAAATTGTGGCCATATCCCACTAAAGTGAAGCAATGCATTAATGTTTTGGCAGAGTGAAAACAACGGTGAACTCTGCGGCCAATTTACACCATTTAGACTTGCTTACATTGCACTAGTCAAAAGTTGGAAGCGTGCTGATAGTTGTATCTTACACCTCATATACTCCCCTAGTTAAATGCAGTGAGAGTTGTTGCAGTATGCAGTTTTTCATAATGGAGTAGAAAAGTAGCCCTTGTTCTAATATTTAATGATAAAAAATGCGTTATGTGCTGCTGTATAATGTGTGACCTTGGTGACCTCAGAGCTGCATCGTTGACCAGTAGGTAAGAATCCATACCATAGGGCACATTTCTCTGCAAAAATGAAATCACAACGGCATCACGGCTGTTTGGACAACTGCACAGTATGTGTTCTCTTGCTGCAGTAATCATTACAGCTCTGGCTCGGCTTTTTCTCTTCTTTTTTTTCTTTTTTTTTCTGGCGCCATATTAAGCTCATTCTAACATTTGTCTTTGACAATGATGCTGCACGCTGAATCTGAAACCTCGAGCGGTGCCAGACACTTAAATCTTCTGTTCAACAATAGCACAATGCTCACTTCATCTCTCCTCCTGCAGCCTGGCCTCTCAGGCTCTCTAATGAAGACTGTGCAAGAGAGGGAGGATGCCTTGCTCAATATGTAAGCTACAACAAAGCATTCTGCAATATGTTTTTGCTCAGATACGAGTGTTGGCACCATCTGAGAATTGCTCCAGACAAGCGGGACAGTTTGCAAAATGATCAGGATCTTAAAAGCAAGGGGCAGTTTCAGAGAATTAAAGGATGACATATTTTTCGAGAAGCCTAAAGCGCTTTTTGTAAGACACTGCAGGGGCTCTTAAGTGCTATCTGGGGAGGTAGGCAGAGTGCTACCCTCTGTGCCCAGCAGCCACCGGCTCATTGGAGAAGAGAAATCAAACACAAACTAGTCCTTCAATAGGAGCCATGGGGAATGGTGTATTTGTCATCAAAGTCATCCTGCCTGGCCCCAACTCCCATCTTTCAAAAAAAAAAAAAAAAAAAAGATACAAAAAGATTAAATCAATATGTCTTCGGCTCTTCCAAATTTTTGTTCATTATTAATGAGTTTGTGATTCTCAAAGAAGCTATCAGAACTATCTGGTTCAAGAGGAAGGAGTCCTTGTCAGGGCTGTTATCGGCCCCTGTGGGGAGGCTGAAGGATCTGAGCGGCAGTGTAGCGTAGCAGCAGACAGGTAACTAGAGGAGATGGTGTCTGGCCTCTAACATCCCCATGGGAATAAGGCCAGATTAAGGGAAGAGGGGAGTCCTCTCATCTGAGTCCAAACACCAGACCACAACCACATCAGCGGGAATCCTCGCAAGGCAGTTGAAATGCGATCCACGTCGTTATGAAAGGAAATACATGTTTTTAGAGGGACAGGAAATCAATATCGCTGACTGACTGCGGAGCAAGTGAACAAATCTGAGCGAGCTTGAAAAACCTGCATAAAATGGAATAAAAATGAGTCAGGCTTAATAATCCTGACTAAGCCGGTATAAGGAAGCCCTGGCAGTCAAGACAGTAGATGGATCAGAGCACAGACAGGGATGCATGCATTATGCATCATTGTAAAATCTCTCCGGGTGGAGCACACACACATAAATAAAAAAAACTTACCCCACCGTTCACATTTGCATCACTTATTGTTCTCGTTTACCACAACTCAAAATTCACAAAATTGTGTGTGTGTGTGTGTGTGTGTGTGTGGTCTCCGCTGCCAAATCCAAAGGACATAATAATGCAGAATACTTCCATGGCACATTAGACAAATGCTACCTGTTAATAGATCATTACTGTTGAATAATTACCCGTTACTTTCACTCTCACATTCACACACTCTTCACAAAGCTACTGCTGAGCACAGCAGCACTATCTTATCTCCCTCACTCCTCGCCCCCCTCCCCACTCCTCAGTTGATGTTAACATTTGACAGCTTTGTGTGTGTGCCGATACAGATTTTTGTCTTTAATTAAAACACTGGAAGGACTTAATTGGACATTACACTTGATTCTTCGCCCCCCCCCCCCCCCCCCCCCGCCGCTTGCCCACCTTCCCCTCCTCAAAGACTTTGATCCTCCGACCAAGTCTTTCGAGGCATTAATAAATTCCCCAGTAGTCAGGCTCACACTGCAGTGCTTAAGAAGCAAAAAGCTCACTTTAAAACAGAAAACAAAGCTTAATACGACGTTCCACTTAAACTTTGTTCCTTTAAGATTTTATATAAGAACAATTTCTCTCCGGTTACATAGATGATCTTCAAGTGACCTTTTCTTAGTTCCAGTGAAAAAGAGATTGTTTGAGAGGGAAACATTAACATCCTTCCTTGGATGAAGTTTTGGCAGAGTAGAAAATGAGTGTTTTGTAACTGTGTGCATGAATCCTGCTCCTTTTGCTGCATCCAGACACTTTATAAGTGCATAAATCAACCTCCAACCTCTGTTGTCAGAGAAACCAGTCTAGAAAGCATTTTTTAATGACAGAGCTTCATCGTTTTACAGGATTATAGCCTTTGTGGAAAATTGTCCGCCCTCACAAATATTGATTAGACTGCCCAAGACCACAGCACTAACACACTTTATATGAATTTGGTTTTGGTGTGGATTTTCTGTTTGAATCCGTTCTCTGATCCCTCTGGCCTCACCAGTAGCTCAGAGGACGCATATGAGCCCATTACAAGTGAGCTTAGGGAATTATGTTGGCTCTGTGAAAACTAGACATAAAGGAGTATTTTCTCTTGCAGCCGAAGTAAACAAAAGAATGTAATAATAGCAATACCTGCAAAATTTCAACCATTTATTTATATATATAACATTGATAGAATGTCACGGTTACTACCACAAGAGGTATGAACTGTAAATTAAGTATCGATTAAACCTTTAATTTGTTTTCTGTCCACGTTTCTTTCTACCTTGCTAATAACTGTCTACTTTCTTTCTCTATTTTCTTCTTCGATCCTCACCTCAAACCCCCTCTCTCCAGGTGGCCCTGGGTCAAGAAGATGACTCCTCCAACCCCAAGAGCTCTTCAGATGACTCCTCCAAGACGGTGGGCCTCCTGACCGGGCAGGCCCCCCTCTCGCCCCTGAGCCGCTGGATGCTTCACAGTAAGAGCAGAGCTGCTAATGCCACCTCTCTGGAGTTGCCCTACCGCTCCCCGGTCCCTTTCTCCAAGCAGGAATTCTCTAAACAGGAGTTCTGGGAGATGTTGGGCAGCGACCTGCTCAAGCCCGACGCCTCCAGCTCTAGGGTCAAACGCCGGCCCATTGTAAAGACCGGCAAGTTCAAGAAGATGTTTGGCTGGGGAGACTTCTATTCCAATATCAAGACGGTGAGGCTTAACCTGCTGATCACCGGCAAGATTGTGGATCACGGTAACGGCACGTTCAGCGTCTACTTCCGCCACAACTCCACGGGGCAGGGCAACATCTCGGTCAGCCTGGTGCCACCCGTCAAGGCGGTGGAGTTTGACCTGGAGCGCCAGAGCGTGGTCTACCCCAAGGACTCCAAGATCTTCAATTGCCGCGTGGACTATGAGAAGGTGGATCGCAGCAAGCGCACCTCGCTGTGCAACTACGACCCGTCCAAGACCTGCTTCCAGGAGCAGATTCAGAGCCACGTGTCCTGGATTTGCTCCAAGCCTTTCAAAGTCATCTGTATCTACATATCCTTCTACAGCACGGACTACCGCCTGGTGCAGAAGGTTTGCCCGGACTACAACTACCATAATGAGATGCCCTACCTGCCCTCGGGCTAGAGGACTTGTAGGGGGGGAGGAGAGGTGGGAGGGGAGAGGATAAGGGGGATGAGTAGGCGTTACTGCAGCACACGAGGAGGAAACCAGGGCTGTGAATCGTCCTTAATGCCAGTATGGCAGCGAGACATCTTAAAAACACCCCCTCTCTGTAGCCTGCCTATTGCAAGATGTAAAAACATATATGCAAAACACAAACTACAGTATGCAGATGATGAGGCATTGGGAATGCTTAACGGCAGCATTTGTTAACTGGACTGGTAGTAAAACTCAAATACCGCCAACACGCACATTCTTACCTCAATCCAGTGTCTAAATGCCAACGTCTCGCCTGCTATTTCTCTCCTCCATTAAGTCATTTGTGAATGTTGTCTGAATGTCCTTTTAATCACCCTTTACAATATTGCTCTTTTGCAAAGTCACAAGGAAAGTCTTTTCAAGTCTTTAAATGCTGTGATATGATTCACTGGAGAGTTGTATTAGAATTCAGACTCCATTACAAACATTATACAGCAGTTTAACAGCGAACACTGTACAGGAAATAATCATGATTTCAAACTTGCCAGAGGGAAGGCAAAGCTTTGTTTTTCTCACAAAGAACAGATGAATGTAAAGTGTAACCAACCACAGGATCATTCAGGTTACACTCCAGGTCTTTTTAAAGGGCACCTTTTTTGTTTTACATGAACTCAATGTTTAAAGTTTCTCTTCTGACTCTCTCACACCCTGCCCACATCCCCACATCCCCACATCCCACCATCCCACCATCCCACCATCCCACCATCCCACCATCCCACCATCCCACCATGGAACTGCCACTGTGTTTACCTGCCACATCTAATTACTATATATCCTTCAGTTATGTCACGTCCATTTCAATGACAGAGGGAAAAGAGGCAGGAAGAGAAAAAAATAATAACAAGAAAATTTGCAAGAAAAAGCAATTGCTCAACAAAGATTCAGGGCCAGGGCTTAAGACAAGTTCAGTGCGAGGGAAATAACTAGATTCTGCATAGAGACAGGATTGGCCCTCCACACTTAACAGAGAGAGAGAGAGGTGGGGGAGTGAGAGAGGGAGAGACTCAGTGAGCTCTTTTAATTAAAGTGGGGAAAGGAGATGTAGAGTATGCAGCTCCGTCTATTGTCCCCTCTGTATGAAAAAGATTACATTTTGTTGCCGTCAGGATTCCTGATTTCACGCCTTGATAACTTTGACTGTGTGAGGGAGATTGCTCTCTCCCGACAAATACTGTGTTCACTAAAGTCGGCCCGTTATCTTGAATAAATGAAAATATTATCATAATAATTACATATAATTTAATCTCCTTTAGAACTAATTAAGGTTTCAACGAGAGGGCGAAATGTATTCCTAAAAATCAAGTCAGCGGGTAGGAGGATAAGAGGACGTTCATGGGGATTGTTGTGTTTTTTTGCGCGGAGCCGGCAGCCAAAGCTCAGCTCAGAGTTAACTGCTCTCATTAAGATAAATGGCCAGTGGCTGGCCCATCTCATGTTGCTCTCACAAACAATATCAGAGGAGAGCAGCGCACGACGGAGCAATGAATTAGGTAACATGACATTTTGTGCGCTGAGAGGTTACCGCCATCCTGCTCGTAAGGACACAATGACTTCTCGGTTCATTAACGCTGAACAGTCACGACAAGTGTGAAGAGCCGTTCGACGGTGATATCAGATAACCGGTTTGACACTAATATACTGTGATATCAGGGATGCGGCCGAGATCTGTGCATGTGCATGCCTGGCTGAAAGTGTGCAGCGACATCCCAGGTGCAGCAGGTGGTCAGCGGTCACCATGAAGCCCTCCTCCTATGGGGGAGGAGGGGTAGCATAAGGCCAGACATAAATGCATGGCCTTGCCTGCTCTGTGTGAGCCTGGAGAGCAGCAGTAGGAGGGAAAACACAGTCACAGGGCTAAAGATAGTAACAAAGACCTGCAAATCTGCACTTCAAAGCTCTGAGTTTTCAATTTACACTTAAAGAGGAGGGGCAGCTCCTCTCCATATGCAACCAAATCAACTCGTGGCCCACAGCAAATGGCAGCGGTGCACAAACAAGTCTGCAGGGGACAGACAGCTGCACCAGCCACAGCCACCGTGCAGGCTGCTCATCTGACTGAGTCGAACCTCTGTCTCCTCTTGCGTTTGACCGTTTTAACACAGCAGATATTTCATACATGCGCAGCTTGTCTGCCTCGCTTGCTGGCAGCACACATGCAGTGGGCTCCAAAAGTCACAGAAAGTTCTCTTTGAGTTTTGGACCCCCACCCCTTGCATCTATCTGGCTCGTCTCTAACTGTGCTTCGAAGTATCTCCCAATCAAGAATCCTCGGTCAAGAATCCTCACAAGGAGGATTTCCCTAAAGAGTCTACAATCAATCACAGTGCTCATTATGAGCTGTAGAGGCAGATTCTGATTTCTGTCATCGCACTAACGGTCAACACAGTATTGATTTGAAAGCATACAGCCCCAGTGGAAAACATAGATGTTTTGGCAGCAGCTCAATCTAAACGCCTGACACTTGTCTGAAGGTCCTTTTTCCTGTAGCTCTGGATGAAATGCAAAGTTTCATGTGTGTAGAATCCATCAACCAGCATGAATGAACCACTGCCTCTTGCTCTGTTCATCCATTTCCTCATCCTCTAGCTTTCCCTGCCTCCGACTCCTCCATACGTCTGCATGTCACTCAGCCCCACCGTCTCCACGCTATTCTCCTTTTCCTGTGTGTGACCATAACCTCTCTACCTCCCTTACCCTGGCGTTGAACCCTAAAGCGGGTAGTTCCTCATTGCTGCCCCGCCCTCCCGCCCTCCTGCACACAGCGCCGAGCTGAGCTGGCTAATCTCTGTGAGCTTAACGCCGAGCCAACGGAACATCAGCAGTGAGAACTCCCCTCTCTCCTTGTCTATCTATCTATTTCGCTCTATATCTATATCCCATCAAACAAATGCGTGCGCAGACAGTCTTTAAGATGTGCTGGTTTAGGTATTTTCCTCTCTCCTGTTCAAAGCATCTTACATAAGCCCCTTGGATTGCGAGGACATGAAATCTCCTCAACGGCATGCCAACAGAGTGCCCGACACAGATACGCCCCAGTAACCTCAATACTCCTCTCGCCCTCCTGCAGGACGTCCAGAGAGAAGTTGGATACTCACACATGTTGGAATCAAAGCTGGGCAACCGTGAGCCCACAGCATTGAACTCATGTAGAAAAACAAACAAACAAACAAACAAACAAACAAAAAAAACAAACAAAAAAAAACAACGTCACATGGTGGGCTACCTGTGGAGAAGAAGCCCCTTACTCTGCTCCTCACCAATCCTCTCAGATTTACAGCAATACTCTCACTGAGACTCCACCTTCTCCGCCTCTCTGCAGCGAGTTAAAAAAATAAAAAAATAAAAAAAACAAAACAAAAAAACAACGGCTGCTGGACTAAGTTTAAGAGACAGTCGTGTTGCTGCGGGATGGACAGTGTTGTTACGGCAGCAGCCTTACTGTTGAACCATCTAGTGCCAACAGACATGTGGATATTTGGACTTAGAGACTGCGAGACAACACTGGTCCACTCAGCAAAGAATAGTAACAAAACGCAACTGTCAAAAACATAAATATACATATATATATATAAAGGCTACGAGTCCTCAGATCTGAATAAAGTTGTATTTAAATGTGGGTCATGCAGTGGAGGTCGTCTGTTTTAACTTTTGGTTCCTCACGGTTTTGTTTCTGTATGTCATGTGGATGATATACTGTATGGATGATATGATGGCATTTACTGTGGTTTTGGACATTCTTAAAATCAATAAAGTACACACAAGTACTTGAGCCACGTCAGTTGTAGAGAAACACACCTGCTCTTATATCTGCTTGTGCTTCATGTGTAGGAAGAGTGTGTCAACAGTGCTGAAGTCTCTATTTTCTCCTATTTGCATATCCATACTGTGAGCCAACGGCAAAGGGGGAAGATGTGACAAAAAATTTCTCTGCTGAGGGCTCTTGCAGATATACATGCAGAGAGAGAAAGAGGAGGGAAAAGGAGCAGAGGGGGGGAAATGGGGTTGAGAGAGAGAGAGGAAGGAAATGTTTCAGCTGGAATGATGCATGAACACAACTCCATCCTCTAATTAGCCTCCTCTTTCTTTCTCCCCGCTCCTCTCCCTCTCTCTCACTCTCAGTTTCTTTGTTGTGCATCTTTGTGCTCCCCGTTCATTTTAAGATGTAATTGACATTAAATTCATTCTACTTCTTAATTAAATCCCAGACAACTGTTAACGAGGGGATGGGTTCAAACATTCAGCTCACAACATCCCTTTAAACAAGATCGATTAAGGCATGGCTGGCGGCAAAGCCAGGCCCTGCAACCCCCCCCCCCCCACGCCCCCTTGTTCCCATAAAAGTGCTGCCTGCCTCAGGATAACCTTGCCGGAGATGATGAAAGGGAAGCAAATAAGTCAACACGGAGACAGAAGAATAGAAATCTAATTTGGAAGAAAGCTGGATTGAGGTTAATGTGAAATCTGTGAGAGCAGGATTCTGGGTCAAACACGCACATGGACGCACATACCGCAACACGTGCGCAGACATACACACAGAGAGAGGCTGGAAACTACAGGCAACAACCATTGACAACGGGCATAAGGGTTTACAACAAGTTGTAGAAGAAGAGAAAACAATTCAAGAGTATGAGTTTCTCAGAACGGAAAGGGCATTTCAGCATGAGTAATGAGAAGCTGGACGATAGTCATTTGAGAAAATAACTAGTCATGGCACGAAGAGGCGGGAGAAGGCGTGCGAAGCTTAAAATGATAAATAGACATTTGGAAAAATAACCTTGAGGTATCAAAACGTGCGTCCTGGAAAAAAACAGACAAAATATGTAACGAGAGAGACTCCTTGTTAGCACTTTGTTTTGAAAAACAAGTCTATCAGGTTTGCAATTTAATCCTGTAGAGTGATAATTATGAGTCATTTTCCTCCATGA